AACATCTGGACCACAGGGCATAGCCTGCTTACTGTCAGAGCTGCTGCTGCGCTGTCCTAAAAACATCGCAGCAGCCTGGGAGCACACCGCATCGTGCCTGTACATATTGTGGTTCTTACAAATTCTGATTTGTTGTGCTTTTCACATGAGCAATAAGTGTTATGGCCCTTAAATTGTTGCAATATATTACTGTTCATCACAGAACACCTTTTAACCAGATAAGTGTTCATAGAATTGAAAAATTTCTACAGCTCTCTGACGTCCTGCAGTGATCCGGCTTGCTCTTGGCCTCTCCTGGCAGCCCTCTGTGATTTGTTGAAACTGAGCCATGGTGTCTTTCTCCAAATTCGCACTGTTGAATGTATTTCTGGCATTCAAGAGCAAATACAGTTATGAGTGACAGCAGTCGGTCACTGTATAATTGATACAGGCTGATTACCATTGTCCAGCACAGAAGCTCGTGTATCATGGGGTTACTGTTCCTTTAGGTAACTGCTACTTGTTGTAATTTCTTGTGGGTTTGTAAACATCGCTTAGCATTGTGTTCAAGCAATGAGCCAGCCAGCTGAGGTCACCTCCTACAGGCTGGGCAGTGTGGGCAGAAGGGCCTGCTCATGATGGCCACTGGCACGCCCCCTTGTGAGACGGCGCTTCTCTGGGCTCTGAGGAAAGGTGGGGTCAAACGAAGGTCACTGCCCAGGGATCTCACCTTTATCTGCCCTCCCAGCTCTGTCCTCCAAGTGGTATAATCCTCTAGTCAGTGTCCAGCCTCCACGGGTCCCCTGGTGTGGCGAGTCTTAGCTGTGGGTCCTGACACAGTGGATTGTACTTGTTCAGTGGGTTTGCCTGAATTTCCGGGTTGGCAGGATATATTCTGGGCCGCAGTCACTGTGACTGACACGTATGCAACAAGTGCGTGTTTGCTCTCTGGCTGGGGGTGGCGCAGTGCACCCTGCCCTGTCCTGTCTTTGGGCAGACGCTGTGAGAGATGGCCCCATCACTCCCAGCTGTCCTCTGGGACCTCTCTCACAGAGACCCTCTGTCCCAACTCCCTCTGAATATCAGCTGGAGCAGAGGGTCAGGGGGGAGGCCCTGTAGAGCAGTGATGCCCTATGGAATTCTCCTCGGCTCCTGCTGCTCTGTCAGGAATCACTCCCAGCTCTCTGTATCTCTCTCTTTCTCTGCTGATGATCAGTCTGGAATCACTCCCAGCTCTCTCTCTCTCTTTCTCTGCTGATGATCAGTCAGGAATCACTCCCAGCTCTCTCTCTCTTGCTGATCAGTCAGATCATTGATAACTTCCAAAGCTCAAAACTTACTGGATCATCTGTCTGTTTTAGCATCTTTCCAAGATACAAGACTTTTAAAGAGAATGAGAAAATCTGCCAAGCTGTTGATTACCACTGCCCTTCTACAGATTTTACAACAGTTCAATGTAAAAAGTCCAGACTAGCAATATGTCTGTTCAGTTAAGGAATTAAGTGACTGAGAGCTCACCTGGAATAAACGCTAGGAGACACTGGCAACCAGGGATTAGTGGGTAGCCTGCACAGCACTGTCTGATCCCTTCTGGTTCGGTTCCTACAGAGATACAAGCCCCTGGTTTCCATTGCAGAGTGACTCTCAGCTTCCTCATAGGCTCAGTTATTGTCTTCATTCATGCAGAATCAGCCCATTCCGAGACCTTCAGACCAGTGTTCACAGTGTGTGCCCAGCCCTTCCTGCGTCTGCTTCGTTTGCAAACCCAAACTGCACCTTGTGGTTAACAACACTTGAGTGAATTCATGTCTTATTTCAGGCTGCTGATTTTTATTAATTTTATTTTTTTATATATTTTTTGTTACCGACCATCTCCATTTTTTAACTGGAGACAACATGATTTATTTGAAGTTAGTTTTTCTTTACTTTGCACCCTCGGAAAATAAAAAGAAAAGTTTTTGGAGGGTTAATGTTTCTTAATATTTTGGGAGTTCTGTCATACAGGTTTTTTCTGAATAGGCTGCACCTGTGTTTCATCCGAGTTGGAACCGTGTTGCTGTTCTGAAGACGGTGGAACGGACACAAAGTCACTGTAGTGGCTTCTGTTTCCTTGGGAAATCTGTGTAAAATAATGAAAATTCCTCTGTATTTTGTAACATCTTGTCTTTTCATGTTCAAAGTGAATTTTAGGTGCTTGTACAAAACGTTATTTTATCACAATAAAGAATTCTTTTGATTTTCACAGGTCTGTGGTTGGTGTCCATTTCTGTTTGTTTGACATTGCTTCTGGAGAGTGGGTGGGAAA